GTGGAATTGTCACATAACTTACCAAATGATTCCTCAGAATTGAATAGAATTACTGAGAACCATGTTCCATTAAAATAACGTGTTATCAATTGCCAGCGCGAATCAGGACATTGTTGTACACAGTCGGTAGGTGACACCTCTGTTTAAAAATATCCATCATCCATCCATCCATCCATTTTCTGAGCCGCTTATCCTCACCACCACCATTCACATTCACATCTTTTTTGAATTTGACATGGTTTATTTTACGCCTCTTTCAAACAATAATCTCCCTATCCAAATTTTGAACATATTGTAGTTGATGTCAAAGGAATGTCCCTTCTTCTTGAAATGCAGATGAACTGCAGACTCCAGCACCAATAAATAAATAAATAAATACATAAATAAATAAATAAAAATAAAAAATCCAGCGGCCAATGTTGGGCCGGGCAGCTATTCAAAGGCTGCTTAGTTTCTCCAATGTAGAGGCCATCGGACTCCTCACCATACTGCACTGCATGAACCACTTTGCTGAGTTTGCATCTCAGGGTTTCTGGCCTTGGTGTGAACCAGGTTTTGTATGAAGAAAAAAACATCTTTTGGAGTTTCTTAGACAAACTAGCCACGTACAGGATGACCACATTCAGCCTCACATTTCTATCTTCAAGCTCAGGTGTTGTGACCCTTCTTCTCCTGGTGAATTGAACAAAGGCCCAGTGAGGTTACCCACTGTTAGTAAGAACAGACAGAAATCAGCAAGGGTCTTGTTGAATCCGCCAGGAGAAGAAGGACCACTATAAACTTTTTGAAAAGAGGTGAAACATCTTTAGTGCACTGAATCGAAAAGTAATTTTTTTTGTTTGTTTTACATGGAAGTCAACCAAAATATTCTCTTTACAATTTGTTATATGCGTCTTTACTTGTCTAAACACTGAATTTTAATTGCTAGTGCGTTTGTGGAAGATGAGTTAAGCAGTAAAATCCACCCATTTTTGGCCAAATCAGTGCGCGGCCATTTTGTTACTTGCTGTCGACTGAAAATGACATCACAGTTACTCAGGGTTCAAGTAACGACCAATCATGGCTCAGCTTTAGAAAATGGGTGAGCCGTAAATGGTTGTTAACAGATTATGAATCAGATTGGCATATTTAGACAAGTGGTGCTGTATAGAACATATTCTTGTCAAGAAGATTTTGGGGTTGACGTCCCCTTTCAAAGCATTACTCTTGCATTGGATCTAATTACAATGTGCAGTGTACCAAATGACTTATGTGAGTATATACACTTCAGTAAAAAGTAGTTTAAAAAAAAAAAACTTACACTGGGTCATCACAGTCCCGCTGTGCACTCTCAACTCCTGCCCCACATGATCTTGAACAGGGCGACCACTCACTCCACGTACCCCAGGCCCCGTTGACACTGTCTGGGTAATGCCCAGCTGCGACACACTGCCCACTGAAACACCACTGGCAAGAAAACAGCACAGTTCAGACTACCGAATAAATTAACACTCCATGGTCTTGGCTGATTGGAAGTTAATGTGATCAACCCTAAAGCTCACACAACTTTCTGTCAGTTTCTCTTTGAACAAATTACCATATTTTCTGCACTATAAGGTGCTTCGGAGTGTAAGGCGCACCCCCAATGAACACCAGCGACGTGAGTAAGCTTAAAACATTTTAAACTGCTTCAAGCTTTCTTTATATGTATTCACAATAATTTTGGACTATACTGTTGTTTTTAGGCTACAAAACAAGTGAACGAATAATCGGCTCTCCTGACCCATTCCCCTCTTAGTCCACAATTGTTCAATTAATATTACAGTTGATTTGTTACAATTTTATATGTTAAAGGAAAACAAAAATGAACATTTTCTGTACGATTTCAACTAAAAATTAAAAAAAAAAAAAAAAAAAGCTAATTAATTTGGTAAAAAACTTGAAGTAGAAACCAGGGTTACCAAAGTTTGGGATTTTTCATTTTCGTTAGTTTTTATTTCATTTGTACTTTTTTTGTACATTGAGTCAGTTCGAATTAAACTGTGGCGTGGTAGTTTTTGCTTTTTTTTTTTTAAACATTTCCATTTCTATTTTATTTAGTTGATTAAAATGTTTTTCCATCCATCCATCTATTTTCTGATCCGCTTTATCCTCACAAGGGTCGCGGGGTGTGCTGGAGCCTATCCCAGCTGTCTTAGGGCAGTCGGCGGGGGACACCCTGAACTGGTTGCCAGCCAATCGCAGGGCACAAAATGTTTTTCCAATTTTAGTTTTAGTGATTTTGTTTGCATTTGTTAGAGACAATAATCTTGCACACATTGTTTGCGTTGGTGGGCCACATCAATGGATATGGCATACCTTCATTTTGACACCTCCAGTTTGAAGTACATCATCACTGATGAAACAACAGACTCACCTTGTCTTGGCCACAAGTGGTTCCATCCACAGCACCGTCGAGCTTGGAGTGGCATGTTGCTCCTACAGTACACCACAGCGTGCTGCACACATTCTTAAAAAAGAAGACAAGAGCATTTGATTTACCTTTCAAATATCCCGTTCTGGGTTCATGATTTTAGTTCACACAGTAGCAGGGAAGATGCATGGCACCTGTCAAAGCAACTGGGCCACACACACACACACACACACACACACACACACACACACACACACACACACACACACACATCCATGTAACACACACGCCTATATGCATTTCAAGTGATGTGCCTCAAGAAGCAGACTTAAGTTATTCAAATGTTGGCAGTTCAGCGCGGCAACATTTTCTTAACTGTGTGTGGCAGAACAAAGTGCACGCAAGATACTGGTGGAAAGTTGAGGGCCTAACACACACAAATCCAACCTTGGATTTTCCACTACGGTGAATAAAGAATGAAAAGGAGAAATGTGTGGGACACAGATGTAATTGGTTTTGATAAGTGATAACGCAAAAGGTCAAATGTGCTGTTTATCTGCGGGGTTTGCTCACTCAGAGCTCCATTCATTTTGTCTTGACATTTCTGCTGAATGCGTGGGGGTCAATTTGTCTTTTGACCAACACAGTATATGCAGTGATGTAAAAATATTCATCTGGGAAACTTAAAAAAAACATTTTACTTTGAATCCAATTAATTCATACATAATTTTTTACACCTTCTGTGCTAAAATGATTGTGATGATGACCTGGTAGAGTCAAATCCTAATTTGCCAGATTAAAGAACAGGGACTGAACACTGAATCCAACACCATTTTGATAAGAAATGTACACTGGGGTGGACATAAGTGGTGCAAGGGAAGGAGGTGTGTTTGGTTTAAATCCAGATGCTCTGGCTTGGTTTAAATTCAGCCGCGCCACACAAAACTGTTTCGGCCTCATGAGCCGCGCCAAAATTAACAGTGAGACCTCTGGTGAAAACAGATGACCCGATGACAAGTGGGCTGGCGACATTTGCATTTCGCAGGCAAAAAGTTGTGAAGCGGTTGTTTAAAGAATGTTGATGTGGCACAAAATCCTGCTATGGTTGGATTTTCATCAAGTCTTACCAAAATTGCTTTAGTTACTCGAGTTTGTTTTGCCTCCTGTGAAACAAGTCGCTGCACTTTGACTGATCAAAACACACACACAAGAACAATCAAAACACACACACACACACACACACACACACAATAACAATGACAGGTAGCCGCTTGAGTACCTGCTGAATACAAAATATTGTGTCAAAGAGAGCAAAATCTTTTGATATGGAAAAACATGGTCACACTATTTGTCACTCACTGAGAATAGGAGACCCATCGCTAACGTAAATGAATAAAAATGAATAAAGGGAAAACATAATCCTTGTCATCCTTGTTCTCTTTCTTACAGCAAAGTTAGCCTGACTTTAAAATGACCTGTCCAGTGTTCCATTTGTGCACATAACACGCTGCCTTTGTTAACATCAGTGTAGTTGAGGCCCAAAAACTTTGCAGATAATTTCGACACCCAAGATAATATAAAGTACTTCTATCGTCATTTAGTGCCTTAGGTGAGGCAACATTTTCGAATCCTTAATTTGTGGATTGCTTAGCAACTTTCACAATGAAATTCATCTTAATAAATCCTTTTTTGTGAATCAATTTGCGTGTCATGAGCAATTTGCTTCGGAAAGTAGGAAGTATTAGATGCATGCTCCCACCACAAACTGTTCCCACATCACATTTAAATTGTTAGATCGATTGAATTAGGTAAGGTCTATATTCATTTATACAATATCAACACATCTAAAGAACACTTCTCACAAAATTGCGACACACCACATCTATTAATAAGGCACTAATTAATACTAATAGCAATAGATCCTAGACTTGCTGCTGCCTGCGAGGTCAATGGGCTGGCAAAAAATGAGCACCAAGTACCAACCTCTAGTGCTCCTTTGAGAACCACAAAGAGATTCTTTTGCAAACCCATGTTTATAACAATAAGAAGAAGAACCTTTCTTGGACATTGTACAATATGTTATATTCCAGTAAATTAAAAGAAACAAAAGAATAAAAGGAATTAGAAAGAACTGAAACGGTCAGAGCAAATGGCATTAGGTTGAACAGGCAGTATTAAACCACTGTGTTTAACGTGTATAAATATGTATGCCTTCTACTGACTCGGAGGTCTCTGAGAAAGCTGTCAGAAAATGTGTTCAGATTTGCACTGGCATTCTCCAATCCTGAATTCCATGGGGGTGGGTGGCGGGTGGAGGGATGATGAAGGGAGGCCGCCGGTCAGTGGTGGAAAATCAATTCTTTACATTGTCGAATGCACCAAGGTATTTCAACAAGAAGGCTACAGTAGGAGGGCTGAAAGGACCGTTTATTGTCAGGCATCACCAGTGCATTATGTTGCCCTCCATTTGGAGCATGTCGTTTCAAGCTTCAGTGCTGAACAAAATGGATGACAAATAAATGGCAAGAGACCAACCAGCAGCGTGACGTACCTCTATGCGCACTGTTTCCATGACAAGTTCGATTTTTCATCATTTTTGAACAGGAATGAGGCTTCAAAATGAATGGGCCTTCTTTGACCTTAAATTGCCGACTCATTAGAGCAAATAACAACAATTTGATGTTTTTCTTTCTTTTCAAAACTAAGTTTGAGAATGAATAAATGAGGAGCAGGGTGTACTCGAAAGATTGTATTAAAACTCAGACAACTAAATCCTAAACAAAGTATCAAACAAAAACCATAACTGAAGCTCAAAACTATCAAGAACAGAAACATGACCAAAAACATGACAAACAAACAAACATGACAGAAGCCAAGAGCAAACAGCAACAAACAAACATGACAGTAGCAAAGAGCAAAATGAATGGGCCTTCTTTGACCTTAAATTGCCGACTCATTAGAGCAAATAACAATTTGATGTTTTTCTTTCTTTTCAAAACTAAGTTTGAGAATGAATAAAGTATTAACAGTATGACAATTAAATGTTTGCATTAAAATATGATATTACCAAAGCTGTAAACGTAGTGTGGCTGTGTGCATTAACCTTCCAATGGTGGTTTTCTAATCAGTTGAAGAACTATAAAGTAGAATTTGACATGCAGAATTGAATGAATATGTTCAACTTGGGGTTGTGTAATAGGAATATTCAATGAGTTCAGTGCTGGGCCTTTTGGAGGTTGAAATGGCACACAAAAGGTTTTTACTTTTCAGTGTTATATCAACAGAAAGTCTTGGTGTGTTAAGGCATAGCAGAGGGGGTAGAGTTGAGAGTAAAGAGTAACAAATGCCACTGATCATATCATAATAATAATATATTTAATTTTGAAAGCGCTTTTCATCGTACTCAAAGACACTTTACAAGAGTTTAAAACTGTCACGATTGCATGGTGGTGGTGGACCCCAAAAAGCAGGCAGCAGGGTGTACTCGAAAGATTGTATTAAAACTCAGACAACTAAATCCTAAACAAAGTATCAAACAAAAACCATAACTGAAGCTCAAAACAATCAAGAACAGAAACATGACCAAAAACATGACAAACAAACATGACAGAAGCCAAGAGCAAACAGCAACAAACAAACATGACAGTAGTAGCAAAGAGCAACAGCCACAAACAAACATGACAGTAGCAAAGAGCAACAATGACCCGACACTGAGTGTTCGGGCTGGGAGTCCTTTTAAAGCACTAATTACATAATGACCAACCGGTGTGCAGCTGCAGGGAGAGCCCTACAGTGCCACCTGTTGGTCCCAAACCGAATCATGACAAAAACACGGGATAAAATGTACACTTTAAAGCCAAGCATACATGATTTAAAACAAACACATTTAGAAGAAGAAAAACAAAGCAGAAATGGGTCAGAGATTAAAAGCTGTTAAAAGCATTGCGCAACAGGTGAGTTTTAAGAAATGATTTGAAGGATTAGAGGTCAGTACAGTTACGGATGTGTTGTGGTAGAGCGTTCCCTAGGGTGGGGGCGGCGACAGGGAAGGCTCGGTCCCCCCAGGTTCTTGAGCCTGGCCACCGGGATAGCAAGGGGGTTTGTCTTTGAGGAGCGGATGTTGCGGGAAGGAGTGTATGGGTGAAGAAGGTCGGAGAGGTTGGAGGCGGCCTGAGTGTGAAGGGCTTTATAGGTAAGTAGGAGGAGTTTAAACTGGATACGCCGGGGAACGGGGAGCCAGTGGAGATTTTTAAGGACGGGGGTGATGTGATCAAGAGTGCGGGTGTGGGTGAGAAGGCGGGCGGTGGCATTCTGGATGTACTGTAGTTTGTTGAGGAGTTTGGAGGTTGTACCGTAGAGCAGGAGTCCCCAACCACTGGGTCATTTGGTGCCGGGCCGCACAGAAAGAATAAATAACTTAGATTCCTTCCGTTTTATTCATTTAGAAATCTGAAAGATGTTTTATTTTGAAAAATTACCGGATTCTCTGTTATATCAGTCTACGGTATGTCACTCTTGACGCAGGTGAAGGCGCGCTTCTCGGTCACGCGATAGGTTACGGCTAAAATGAAACGCAGGAGCTAGCAAAAATGAATAAAAAAACAAAAGTCTTTCAAAAGTTTTTTCAGGAAGGGGAAAAGGCCCAGCCAGGAGACAGAAGAGGAGCCTCCGACTTTCAAGAAAGAGAAGGCTACATTTAATAGACAGTATCAGAAGTCCTACTTCAAATACGGCTTCATCTCAACAGAAGATTCCCACGCACCAAGCCCACTCTGCATAATAAATAACGATGGTGAGTTGTATTTTTCATGCACTTTTATTGCGGCCTATCTTATTTTGAAGGCACATTCAAACGTTACCATAGCGAGCAGAGAATGTTGCGGCCAGATAGGACGTTCCTGATATCATGATTCGTGTTTATTATTATGTTTCGACATTTTTCATGCCGGTGAGATCGTATTATTTTGTTGTATTTAGCCAGCCCTAAAAGGCCGGTTGCTGAAAATATTGTCGGACATGAAACCGGTCCGTGGGGCAAAAAAGGTTGGGGACCTCTGCTCAACAGTTCACTAACCACCTCACCCAACCCCCCCTCTGATTTACCTGCCTCCATCCCTCAAACTACTCCACATCTCTCCGAATTCACTCCTGTCTCCATAGCTGAACTCACCAACATCATCACAACAATGAATTCCCCCACCTGCACACTGGATCCCATCCCATCTTCCTTCGTCAAGCACTGCTTTCCCACCATCTCTCACCTCGTCATGAACTGCCCTGGCGGTTGGGGACCCCTGCTGTAGAGGATGTCGATTTTGGATTGAAAGTAGGATAGGAATGAGTTGGATTTGTTGACGGTAAAAGAGGTTGAAATGTCGCTGGGTTTGAGGAGTTTGTTGACGGTAGAGAAGAGAGCCTTTTGGTTGTTGGAGTCAGTTTGGATAAGGTTGGAGTATTGGTAGAACGGCTGGAATTGAGTGCGGTCTTGTATAACTGAAGGTGATCGGTGTAGGCGAGGAGATGAACAGTTAAACCGGATGTTTTATAGTCTTTCGAGCTGGAGTGAGTGTTTTTGTAGTAGTTGGTGAGAAGAGTGGGGTCATGGGACAGTGGAGGAGGTAATATGGACAGGTGGTAGAGGACGGAGGAAGAAAAGTCAGTTGGGGAGATGGATTTGAGGTTTCTGAATGATATGGGTAAGGCAGGTTTACCAAAAGAAAAAATGCCTATTCTGACCTGTTTGATTATTATGAATATTTCATGAATCCACACCATTGGAGGTCTTAATCAGATAATTATTTGACTGCTGAAATGTGGTTGATTGTGTGGAATTGATTGTTGATTAATTATGCAAATTGAGTGCACTTCTTCACTCCAACCACCACTGTTCAGGCGTCTGCTGTGTCACACGTCCTTTGTCAGCGGTGCATTTTTCGGCGCATTTCAGGCACCACTTTTATCGCCATTAAAGCATTTTCCTTTTTCACATATCAGAACGCGAGCTGTCCTTGAATTCATTGTGAACAGGGGCCGAGCAGCAGGCGAACTGTAGATTGACACGCATGTTGAAAAATTGCACAGATTTTCCAAATAAGCAATGTAAGATGAGCAAAAATGTTGCCTGCTGAGAACGCAGCAAATAATGACACACCACCAGGTAACAAATGCTAAAGAATAATGCAAAGTAAGTCAATCATTGTCAAAAGACTTCCATACAGGACAGGGAGAAGACATGACTCGACACTGATGCCCGGCATAGTAATATTATGATGATGATGATGATGATTATTTTTTATTATTATTAGCAGCAGTATCAGTAGTAGTCTGATCACCTCAGCCCTTTCAGATCAAAAGTTAGGAGCCTTTTGATGAAAAAAAGTAACCTGTAAGATTGCTTCATACTGGTCTTCAGATACGTTAATTATTTATGTCGACTGATAAAAGCGTGCACATCAAAGCTCGGAACCGGTTAATTGGATGATTATTAATTTTCGTTTTTACATCCACATGTTCATATACTCTTATTCTGGTTATGAAAAGTGTGTATCAGGGAATGACTGATCCTAGGCTCATGTGTTGAGGGTCTGGTGGGTTCAAGGGATTTTCAGATTTCAAATAGGGCCCCAACACACTCTACATACTTGGACTGGGAAGAAGAAATCATATGAAAGAGGATGTGGTGGACATGTTGTTGAAAGGTAGTCTTACATCCATGTCATCGCATAGCAGGGATCCAGATCCATACTGCAAACGGCATTGATGGGCAGCACTGTACAGAACCCCAGGAAGCAGCAAGCTTTGGGAAACGGTATCCTTCGCGGGGGCATCATCAAGACACCAACCCCAGCCACGGCTGTAATCACAGTAGAGCATGCTGGTTACCTCCCATATTTTTCACATTTCAAAAGTATGAACCCGGAAAAATGCAAAAAAAAAAAAAACGAAACAAAACGTTCCTATGACAATACAACACACTTGTCTTGTAAACAGATGATAGTCTGCTTGTACATATACAGTGGATATAAGTCTTCACACCCCTATTCAAATGCCACATTTTTGTGATGTGAAAATATAAGACGCAGAAGAATCTTTTCAAAACTTTTTCAACCAGTAGTGTATGACCTGTACAACCCCAGTGGGAACCCCCCCCAAAAAAAAACAAAAAACGAAAGCCTTTCAAGAGTAGTAAAAATAGCTGAGGTTGCACAAGGGTGCACACTCTCTTCTTATGCATGGAATGTTGCTGTGTTCAGAATTAACTAATACAGTACTAATAATCGGAGTCAGCACACACCTGACAACATTTGAAGTTAATCCCAAAGAAAGTTTAACTGTAGTAGGCTTTACTTGGCATTTTTGTGTTGTCTCACAGTACAAACCATTGTCCGCTCAGAGCTTCCATCACATGAGAAGGCTCTCCTGATGACATGGCATGAAACAATAGTGGATACAGGATGCTTCCATGTCTTACCTTATTGGACAGCATGAACCAGGAGTATGCAATTTAACACCACTCAACACACAAGGTCTGGAATCAAAACCAATACACAATAAGCTGTAGGGGTGTGCATCTCTCTCTGACCTTTGATATAAATGGCAATTTATTTTCAGAACCACAATGATTGTCTGAAAGGTCTTTGGTCTTGTTTGATTGTTAAGAATGAATCAAATTACATATGGTGTCCCACAAAGGTCATTTCTCAGTACTCCAATATGGATCCATGATGGAACAAGCATCGCTGGTGATACACAGCTGTATGCAAAATTTGCCGTCAAAAGGAGACATGAAAATTTTTGCAACATAAAGGACTTCCCCCATGTCTTTATTACCTGTATATGACACACTTTTGTCAAAATACCCGATAGATCAACATTTACACCCCAGTATTTAAGCCTCCCAGTACTTTGCTTGATATGAGGGTATGGACCTGTTGCATGAAAATGAGCCACTGTTCACCGTGCACACACTACAGTGTCATGACAACTAGGGGCGTAGCTAAGGGAAGGAACGAAGAAAGCAGCTTTAACTTGCGGAAGCTGAGTCAAGATCAGTGTTTTTCAAACCCTGTGTTGCGGCACACTGGTGTGCCGCAAGATATTGTCAGGTGTGCCGTGGGAATTTATACAATAGGTATGCCTGTGCGGTCGATCACCTGGAAGAGTAATCATGTAGTACTCCCCTATACCGGTAGGGAGCAGCAGCAGCTAGGAAATTGCCTGATGCTTCGAGACAAGCGAAGTTTCCGACGCGAGGCAATACAATGAAAGGTATCTTTCATTTAGATCAGGGGTGTCAAAGTCAAATGGACGGAGGGCCAGATAAAAAATTTTGCTGCAAGCCGAGGGCCGGACTGATCGAATGTTCATTGAAAATTTTAAAAATGACCACATATTGTTTATTGAACCAAATTTAATTGACTGAAAACCTAACAAATACATTCCAATATGGTCAGATAAATAAAGCAACATTTTTTATGGCTATGTCAGTAAACTTAAATTTTCAACAGGCACAAAAAAATTTCCTTTGTATAAAAATACCCATAACATGAATGAAAGAAGCCGATATTATTCAAGGCACTATCAATAGTCCATATTTTCTCTTTTAGCAAAAGTAGGCTAAATTTACTGAAAAGACAAACAAATAATACTGCAGTAATTTTCGATCATTTACTCGAAACAAATATTTTTAAAACATAATTGGATTGAAATACAACAAAATAAAGTGCAAAAATGTATAAACCAAAAACAACACTTTCTTCAAGAAGTAACAAGCAGCGAAAGCAAATATTATACTTTAATTTTTAAACATGAATTGAGTAAAAACTCAAAAATATGTGATTGCACAGTATATTATAAGTAATATTCACATCTTTGAGGCTGAGGCTGATACTCGGTGGTGTCTTAACTTTTCTACAAGTTCATCAATATTTGGGGTCAGGCTCTGAGCCGCGCAAATCCTCAAAATTGAATGAGGGTGTTCAGCAGTAAATCGACTTCTGTGTGATGTTTTGTTCAGCTTCATCAAAGAAAATAGTTGTTCACACACACGTATGTGCTGCCAAACTTTCGACAACGTTTGAGCAGCCTGGATGCGCAGCGGG